AAAGTTTAGTTTCACCTATTTGCCAAATGCAGACTTGATGTTTTACATCCAACACTTAGTTTTATTTAATTGTCTACAGCGTGTGTGACAGCTTCACTTTAGCCTTTCAAGTTTTTATTTATTTTATTTTACTTTATTTTATTTTTTGTTTCAGGCAGATTACTTTCAGTTTTGTCACCATGCATTCGTGTCTTTTAACATCACTATTTGTATCCATTTCTAAAGTCGTCTGGATTTAATACTCCTGCTTTCTGCACTTAAGTTTTATTTTATTTTTTATTGCTTCAGCTGGCGGCCATGTCTCCAGATGGTCAGTCAGGTGCAACATCTATATAAGTCTTAAAGAGTCAATATTATTATTTTTTCTCTGGCATATAGATTCTTTACCAAAGTAACTCACCTTCAGTTTTTATTAAAACGCTGTTTATATGTATAAATCAATAATAAATTAGATTTTGCATCATAGCCATTTCTACACGCCTTACAATTGGCCTCTGTCTCTTTAAGAACCTCCGTACTCTTCCGTCACACCCATTTCTGCACGTTATCACAGCAGCTTCATGCCCTTTACAACCGGTCTTAGKTGCGTACTTCTGAATGTTGGAATTGTGTAGTCTTTTAGTGATAATCTTGTTTTTAGTCTTGTTGAATTCCCTTCTGTTCAGAAAGTTATCTGTAAAGTGGCTTGCAAAAAWATATATATAAAAAAATTCAGCGGACGGTTACTTCCAAAAGTGAAATTAAACCATTTCTGAAGAACCGTGTCATCTAAAAATCCATTTCCTCAAAGGCATTTTTTAATCCGAAAAGGACTGGAGTGAGAAATAGTATTACAAGCTCAGCAAATGTGCGGTTTCACCAGGTATTTGTTTGCTAGTTGTTGCTGCTGATAGCCTGCAGGAGTCATGAGGGAGGTGTGCTGTGTAATGCAGAAGCTCGGCTTGGAGACACAGCCCAGAGGAGGAGCTGCACCTAAAAGGTGGTTTTAGGGCCAACCAGCCGTTTTTTTTTTTTTTTTTTTTTTTCCTGAATGACTGCCACAGGACCTTACAGGATTTCTTAAACATGCATGAATGAGTCAAAGCAAGACTCTGGGTATGTTTTTGATGAGGGGATAAGGTGATATAAAGCTAAAAAAAAGTTGATTTTACATGATATTGCCCCTTTTAAGAAGAAAAAAAAATCATGACTCAAAACATATTTCCACAATTTGGATATCAGAAATGAAACAACTGAGATATTGGTCAGCTGTTCAACAAGCACTTTATAAATTATGCTAACACCATATATGTATAAATTTTACAGTTCTCTTAATTAGAAATAAAACTCAATCTGTGGTTACTGTCGTATTAAATGTTTAAGACATGTAAGTGGCACTCACTGTAGCAATACAACAGCTGAAATATTAATTTCACCCTGGGCTATGCATTGTTAGGGCTACTAAAATTTTAAGTACTCGCTAAGTACAGACATCAATTTTGCAGTAGTTGAGAGGGGGAACAGCTCTGATTTTATGACGCAGTTGCTGACTTGCATCTCTGTACATACTTGCTTAACATGAAGTTGACGTAATCTTCTGTGTTGTGTTGAGTAATCCCTGGTTGTTACCCGGCTCAGTGCCTCAATGGGATTTCTCAAATAAAGGAGAACCTGGCACATGTAAAATAACCACGCTGTCAGTGTGATGGAACCACTTAGTGGCTGAAACACAAAACATGATTGCCGATTTGCCGTCAGAGCTTTGTTGGCAGCTGTACTGTTGATAATTTCTGTCAAGAACTTGTGAAATTAAGATGTTTCAAAAGCCCATTCGATTTTTCTTGATTCAGAACTAAATCTGCCATTAATCCATGAAGGATAAAGAAACAGAGTGTGGAATAGGGAATACATTTGATGATTAATTTTTCTTTTARGCTTTGAAAGCACTTTTAACAACTCTATTCTTAAAGCAAATTACAGTTTTCTCTATTATTGATGACAGTGATGCAACATATTTTCCTGGCACTGAATCAAAGCGCTGCATGTGGCATCAGTCTGTTCTCATGAGCTCTCAGACCTTTTTCCTGCAAACTGTTTCTACTGTCTGCTTGTTATGRTGTCTGCTAAACAGCACCCTTTACAACCGTTTGTTTTCTGTCTCTTCCATCTTTTATTACCTTCTTACCTGTCTCCTGGGCACTTCTTTGCCCACCCACAGACCCTTTGAGGAACATAATCGGATGGGCCGTCCTGATGTAGCAGCGGGCCTGGACTTCTTCCAKCAACGACTGCCCCACAGTCTGTGTAATGAAGGCAGCAGGAGGGCCTTCTAACTGCCTACTTGGGTTACACTTTATCATTACTACCAACGCCCAAGGTTCTCTAATTAAGACACCGTCTTGGCCCTGCAGATTATCTAGCAGCTGGATCATTAGCATGCAGGGTCAAATGACATCAAATGTGCATCTGTGAATCAGGCAGAGTGCTTTTCATCAACCCTTGTCTTAATCTCATCACCTCCAGACACAGCTTTACTTTTCCCCCTGCTTGCTCCATTTATACTCACTGCTTGGTAGAACAGATAGTTGCTTTTGTTCAGTGCTTTCTGATTTATTATATAGAATTTAAAGTTAATAGGATGAACTGCTTTCCATTATGCCAGAATGAGAATCATTAATTTACAAAGTTGTATATGTCTGAACTATGAGGTTTTAATAAACATTTTTAGTGTCTTGATGCATAGATGTGCATTTTGTTTCTAAACAAAGTTTACAAGTCTGTTAATTTGCCTGTAATCAGTCTATTCTATCAAACAAGCTGTTTTAAGGAAGTTTTTACTTATCTAAAAAAAAAACAATACCCTACATGTTTTTAGCTAGAGGTTAGTAAAAACATAAAATGTATTTTAAACCAGCAGTCTTTTAAAACATGCTGATTACAGACAAGATGCAATAAACCCCATCCAGCTCTCGGYCAGAAAAATTCAGACGACCAACGCTGCCGTTCTTTTATCAGTGGATTCGTGAACCTAGACTGGGATGTTAAAGGAAGATTTATGACAAATGAGTTTTGCCATTAATGATCTTCTGCTTTCAAATGTGGTATTTTCTCTTCTCTGAACTCAGTTTAATTTAGCAAAAAGCTGCCATCATCTGCTTTGCTTGTCTACACTGATAGAAGATCTTGAATTGGTTACTGGGCACTTGCAGGCTCCTGCTGTGAGAGATCAATTGAAAAGAACCACTATAAGCCGCTTCTGTACGACTGCTGCCAAAAGATTTTGCCTCATTTGTGAATTTCTGTTTTATTCCTGTGGCATCTTCTATGGACATCAGAAGTCCTTCGAATTATTATTTTTATTTACAAATTCCTTTTGCAGTTTGCTTCTTTGCTGATAACATGGTGTTTAAAATTTAAGCAAATAAATAATTGTAAAGTAAAATACAATTATTTGATTATATTTCATATTTTTAGGTATATATGATAATGTGATGYGCATTTTGCAGGTATGACTAGCTAGAACTTCCATCTGTATTGGCGATACACAAACAGAACACGTGAGATTTAATGCCTGGAATAAGTTTTATTTTTTAATGTATACATGATGTAGTGAACATGGGGAAGAATCAAAATTGACAAGAGGAAGAAATTTAAAGCAAATTGTTTTGATTTGCATGATGGACGTGTGATCAAGAGCTTTGCGCAGATACCAGCAATTATCTACTCATCTTCTATGTACACACTGTTAGTAGCAGACAAAGTAGCAAGCATAAAAGTGAGGAGATAGCTATGGTTGCTTTCAAGATTGATAGATTGTGTAATCTTAGATCTTATGACCAAGCACAGCCAAAAGTCAAATAAGAAACTGTTGGCTGTGAGTTGTTATTGTTGCCTAACAGCACAGTTCTCTGGAGTTACCTCACAGTTACTTGCTGACGCTGAATATGACATCATTGACAAAGTCGTTAGGTTACAAAACATAGCAACCCAGAGCATACTTGGCATTTTTGGAGATTTCTTTATTTAGAGGTTTGTCCTGTAGCATACGTTAAACAAACCGAAAATCATAGCGTATGATTCAGTTCAAATTTGCAATGCATTGAAAGAATTTACTGTGTTACATAGTAATAGCTGGGTTGAATTACAACTTGCACACAACTATTTAAAATATTTCTTATTTGACCTGTGGAATGCTATCAAGAATGTTTTCATTCCCTACACACTCAGGTTCACACATGCTCTAACAGGCACACTCAGTAATCAACACACACGCGCACACACACACACATGCACACACCGTGAGCATGCTTAGTCAAGAGTAACAATCCCACAACTTTTTGGGGATTCCACATTCTCAGGACTGTTCTCCCTTCCTTCAGATAGCCTGAAGTGTCATACAACTTTTTAAACCCCCATACATTCTTGTATTCTCCTGTGTTTGTAACTTTTGGCCTTTCTACACGACTCGTCTATTTTAAGACTAGGATGGCAGTCTGCCGAGAGGGACAGTGAGACAGGTTGTTGCTGGCTGTGCTCTGCACAACATAGCTGACACACATATCACAGAGGACAGTTTGCAAGATGACTCTAGCTGGCTTGTTTGCGACTGAAGCTCCATTTAACCGAGGCAAAGCAAGCAGTGCAGCAGGGAAGAAAGTAGAAGGGGTTTACTCACTTCAAGTGTGTCAGAATTCCTCCAGAGCCATTCCCCCATTTGGCTGGCAGTTGTGAAAACAATTGCCTGGCATTTACTTTCTCTGTGCAGATGGAGTCCCAGCTATGAGTCAGCTTCGAGAGCAGCAAGTGGTGGAGAAAGTGGTGGGCTTGTGATCTCTTTCACAGAATATAAAGATGCTTCATAAAGACATTTGTTTAATGTTGTGGAAACTTGACAAAGCTGTTTAATGACTTTTTTCTCCTTTATCTGCAATATTGTCTAGATTAACTTTGAAACAAAAGCAAATAAAGTTTGAAAAATCTTCTTGACTAAGAAAACACGTCTCTTTCTCTCGTTTCTTTAGACACCCAGAAGACGCGATGCTAAGGTCCTGAGCTAAAGGAGTCCTGGTTTCTTCCCCACATTTGTCTGTTTCCACATCTGGAGCACTTTCCGTCAGTCATCAGGCATCATCTCTAACTACCACTTCCACCTACCCCATTCTTACCCCTTTTTACCTGCCCAGCCTGCCGTCACCATGACGTCGGAGCTGGAGAGCAGCCTGACCTCCATGGATTGGCTTCCTCAACTGACCATGCAAGCAGCCATCCGTAAAACTGATGCTCAGAATGCCCACGGGCCCGGCATGGGCAAGAAGAACACCCTTCTAGATCACAACACCACACTGGATCAGGAAGAGGTGCAGCAGCACAAGGATGGCAAGCCTCCTTACAGCTACGCCAGCCTCATCACGTTTGCTATCAACAGCTCGCCAAAGAAGAAGATGACATTGAGTGAAATCTATCAGTGGATCTGCGATAACTTTCCTTATTATAGGGAGGCGGGCAGCGGCTGGAAGGTAAGAGAGAAAACCAATCTGCTAGTAATTATGTAGATAGWTGTTGTTCTCATTCATTCAAATGCAATGGTAATGATTAGAAGTTGTAGTTGGGCTTTTAAAGAATGTGCATGGTTACATGCTTGTGGATTACTGAGGGCTTGTTCATATTTGTTGTCAGCACCTATGCAATCTGTTTCAAGTTATTTGATTCCAAGTGGTCTGCTCTAATGCTTCTGTTAGTGTTCACAGGGCTATCAGTGAGATTTCTGCAAAATCACAATACATTTAAACATCTGATCTATATTATGTTTACATTAACAACAGTCATGAGCCGTTTGAATCTGATTTTTGTTATCTTGTTTAGCTTAATTACCTAATAGATACAAAATAATAAAAATAAGAAAAATGATTACTGACTTCACAGAACTTACTCAGGGCAAAGACTAGATTATAGACACCACAATAAACAATGATATGACACTATCAGCTGTTTTACACAGCGTCACTGTGGCTATAACCTCAGCTCTGTGCTTGATTAGGTGAATATGACTTGACATAATGCTGTTATTATGCTGTTCCTTTTTTTAACACGAAAGACTAGGGCACAGATGAATGAATGGAGTTAAAACAAGTTTGTGTAATTTTTATTTTATGATTTTATAATTTTTTTCATCAGGTAAAAAATAAATGTTTTTTTAATATTAATAGAAAAATTAATTAGCCTTTCAGTTTGTCAGTTTTTGTTGTTGTTGTTGTTGTTGTTGTTGAATTGTGGAAGTTCTCTGTTCTCTTAGATGAGCTTTTAAGAATAAACACAAGAGTTCAAATTTATATTCTTTAAGTTAAATTTTTATTTTATTGGTCCTGGGCATCTCGAACAAAGTGCAGTTTTCTGGTTATCACCATTGTCACATTCTAGAAAGCTTAGAGAGAAACTATGAGTGTGCCAAATCACACTAAGTGCCTTGCTCTTCTGAATGAAAAATGCCGCAGCCCTGAGAGAACCATATGAAGTGTAAAACCCTGGATTAATATTCAGACAAGTGGCCCCTATCTGCACGAACACAGGCTAAATAGCCCATTCATGGGTGGTATTATTCATTGCAGATGCTTTGATAGGAGAAGGCCATTATGCARAAGGAGAAAGCCAGTGCTGTGTCATCATCTCAAGGAGCCCATGATATACCGAGATGAAGCTATGCTGATTGCCTTTTAAAGGGCCCAGATGGAAATTGATATTAGAATGAGTTTTCCAATCAGTCGACATTTATTGGAAATAGAATCTTAGGCACTGCTTTATTGCAGTCAGACAAGATGTATGAAGCCCATTTCCTTGGGCGACAAGATCTGGTGTGTGCCCAGGCTGCATGGAGGTAGATGCGTGTGTGTGAATGTGTGCGTGTTTGTACGCGTGTAGGTGAGGGTGAGATGAGAAATCATGTGTTATTATAAATGGATTGATTTTTAGCTTTTGTGGAAAGGCCTTTTGTAAGGAAATTAATTGTTTCATTTTGCAACCACTGTTTCCTCTTTTTACCTTCATTACTTATTTAGTTGTCAGTAACACTGCAGCACATGTGCTGTCTTGATTTGAGTTACAGACACACTCGTTTCAGCTCTGTTTTGTGTATCAGCTATCTTTGTGCGCAGTGCACTGCCAAATTCAGCGCCAAATAATTTTCTATAGTTGAGATTGACAAATTGAGCCACAGATTTTATGGCTTTTTTTTTGTCAAACTTGAAAAGCAAAATGTAACCTTTTCATCAGAGTTCAACAATGAGGAAAAAAGTTCAAGGTCGTGGCTTGAAGTGGACGAAGGTAAAAGGAAACTAGCACTGACACTTTATTACTCATAAATCTGAGGGTGTGATTGAGTAGCCAAACTTTTATACACTAGATAGCAATAAAAAGGAAGCTGACATGCATGCAGTTTTTATACATCTTGCTTTTAAGAAGGTGACAACAGTGGGAAGTTAAACTGATGCTTGCGACAGAGACACTTYGCTCAACCAACTAAGGCCACATTCRCACTGCAGGTCTTAATGCTCAATATTTCAATATTTATTGGCGTGGTCGTTCACATTATAGTTTAAATGCAACTGCCAACAGACTACAATGTGAACAGTCCACATCCCTGAAGCAAGCCACATTTACAGAAGTAAATATGGATTCTACACGTTAACTTGTGTGTGTATCAAATCTGAAATTGTTGCGTAATCGGAATGACTAAATTATCCGCCATGTTTGTTTTGCCAAATGTTTTTGCTTTTTGCCTACTCCGGTATGAAAGTGACAAACTGAAAGTAGAAGCAAAATCAAATATTGATCCTATGTTGCTAGTATCGATACAATCCGACATGTTGGTATACCACTGTTAGTATCATATGTTGGTGTAAACTCTGTGTCATCTGGGGCATGACAAATCTGGAAAGTTGAAACAAAGATGAAGCAACTGGACTTCTGTACAGAGGAGGTGCAGCGTCCAAAACTGTAAACTGCATGACATTGGTATCGATACTACCAATGTCTGGATTAGGGGTGCACCGATTGCAGTTTTCTGGGTCAATCACATATCTTTAAAAAGTCAGACTCGCCAATTCTGATTTTGGCCAATGCCAATTTTTTTAAGTGACACTGTCAGGTGTTATACACAATACACAATACACCTTCATTGTTGCAATCTTATTTTGTTGAAAAACATTGAACAATATACTTGAATCAATACAAACTTGTTTAACTTGACACTAGGGATGCTACCGAAAACYGGTATTTTTTCAGTACCAGTTCCACGTGATGAATTTCGACCGGATCGATGAGCTCCAGAAATAACGGTATCATTAACAGTATGGGAAAAGTGCAGACACGGTGCATGCTGTGTTGTTTAGAAGAAGCTCTGTTTTCCTCTCTCCCCTCCCGCAGCCTGTTTCCTCTGAGCTCTCCTTAACATGAAGGGGAGGGGCTGCTAGCAACACAGGCTGCTAGCAACTCGCTACCCACATGCGCAGAAAGACGTGACGTCTCCTTCATTCAGCGCAGTGTACAGAAGTAGCCTATGGAAACTAATTGTTAGTATGTTGATTCGGAAGTTGTGCAGTCAGAGCTGATTAATTAATTATCTGACTAATTAATTAATTAATTGTTWAGTTCATTGTTTATATCTGAGCTTGCCTCTGACACCGGTGCAGCATTTTATTTTTGGAATGAAGCTTCATGTTTAAACTAAAGTATCGATTGAGCAACTTTAGCATTGATGCTGTCCGCGACCGCTCGACGTCACTATCATATTTTTCTGTGGATTATCAATCAACAAGGACATGGAAAATTAAAAGAAAAAAGACAAAGCAACTGAATGAATACAACAAAAACAATAACAAAAGGTGAAAATATGGTTCATATTCTGTTACCAATGCGGACCCACAGAATCACGTGCACTAGTTTATTT